AAACTGTATTAAATACCTGGGTGTTTCATTGATACTGCTCTTCACTTGACCTCTCACATTCAACATATCGTCAGTAAGCTTGGACGACTTTCTTTTCATATCCGTAAACTTCGTCAGTTTCGTATTCAACAATCAATTATTTCCAACTTTTTGTGCCTGTGTGTTTTCCCGTTTTGCTTTATTGTTCACCTAAGAAAGTTTTTAAACTGCTTCGACGTGGACTAACCATCATTAGCCGTGTCCCCGCAATCCTGCTGAAGGAGTTGGTAACTGACCTATGCAAACGTCATTTGAATGGATGTGAAAAGTTTGCGCATAAGATTCTCATCGACTCCACACATCCGCTACACGCAGATCTAACTTCTTGCTGTTCCCATCCTTCAACTAGATCCCAATATCGTTGTGTTCCCTCTCTAATAAACATATATTGTAACTCTACGGTACGCTGATTGGTACATATTCTAGTTAACAAAGAACTGGGTTTCACAGACTTTGTTAACAGTTTTGGGATTTAAATCTCTTTTTTCATTATTACTATTTTTTTCTCTCCCTCGCTCCAACTTGTACATTTTTAACTGAAATGTAGGCCTCATGCCTGCAAAAGTTATTACAATACAATACAATACATAGTTAAATTCGAAGATACATAGATAACCACCAATGATGCAAAACTGGTGCGGGGTCCTCCCTGGTAGTCATGAAAGTAGGCCTAATCTCCTCAGTGGATATCAGATGGGAGTGCAGACGGTGAGTTTGATTACCACAGTCAACGGTTAATTATTATTGAAAGGAGGGGGAATTAGCGAATTACTTAAGTGATACCGTTATCGGTTTTATGAGGGTAAAATAGGGTTGAAGTATTTCTCGATAAAACGCATTTGATAAATAACGTTGCCGAGCGTATCATATAGATCTGTTAGCACCCTGGTCGACAGAGGTACGTAAACCCAATAACTGTAGTCACGTCATCGGCACAGTTATTTGTGCAGTTCTTTCATCACACATCAATGATCAAACTGTGTTCTATCTTGTCTGATGTTTTTTGCCTATGTGAACAAAATATCTATGCATAAGAAAACCTGCACGTTTTATCCTTCTTTTTTTCATCAAATCTATACCTAAGTACCACTGTTTCAAGAATTCGTTGTTCAGTGTGATCCCCCTGGATGGGCTCATTTCGATCAACTCTGTGTGCCTTGGGGGTTACAAGTTAAACAATCTGACCTCATATGGGCCCGAAGAATGATAGCACATCATATGAACAGGGTGCGTGGAATTACGCGGGTGTACCAGGTGATTCGCCAAGCCGGAAGCACTGCTGAGTATAATTTCAGCGAGGTTCAATTGCACGTTTAACAGAGGAAACCGTTTTGAGTGGAAAAGGGTCATCACAGGTCCGTTCACACCTTCCAGAATCGCTTGTGTGTGTTTGTGGTGGGGACAGTCGGGCGCTGATCTTGAAAAACATTTCTTAGTTGTCAGCCGGTGCAAGATGAACTTAACGGACGAGGACGAAACCCATTTGGTCTGGCTAGGCGTGTCAGGTCTGGGTTTTCGAGAAACATGTGAAGAACTCAACCGTCTCATTAATGACAGCGAAAGATAAACCGCGTCAACTGCGAAAAATCGCAAAGAGCGTTTTCCTCAAATGATTCCGGAGAATGTGTGAACAGACCTGTGATCACCCGTTGCCATTCAACACGATTTCCTCGGTTAGAATTGCAATTCAACCGCCACTGAAAACTCCACCCAGCAGCATATCTCCGGCTTCGTGAATCACCGTATAGATAAACAAACTTCGACATCCGATAGAATAGAGGATTTGAAGAGGATTAGAGCGCCGGTTAACTGCAATAACAGGATAGACAGAGTATAGCAGGATCATTGGCGAGCCATGGATAATATCCAACGTTGAGGTAAATGCCAATACTTGAACGGGGCACCCCGTTGCATTGATCCGAATGAGATAATGTAAAAAAACATTTACCAGTAAAAATGATACTGACTCAGTTTTCCCTAGGCCAAATTATATCTTACTTCACAGTTTAAACTACTAACACACCTTAGTATTAATTACATTGGTGATGTAAAGTACAACGATGATAAGGTAAATCTATATTTTATCTCTGGTTTCACAATGCGGCAAAAATTGCTTTGATAATAATCGAATTACTGTCGATATCCTTTAATCATATCATTTTCGGTAACTCAACTAGTCAAACATGTGTAAGAACCAAACTGTATAACATTAAGCTCAATTTGGGAGCGAAGAGCGTTGCTGACCCAGTGAGTTAAGTTTTATCACCAGCTGAAACCAGTTCGGTTGAAAACCGCCACTGGTTCGCTTAATTTTGCTGTTACAATATGCTATAACGCACTACACCAACGTGATCTTACGGGAAGTCTTTGCGGTCCGCCAATTCAAGTCTCCCATCCTCGTAACTGATTGACTGGTCACTATGGCTATGCGATCTAATCATCCTGCTTTTCATCGCACTGCATACTTAAACTATGAGTGATTTGGGTTAAGTGTATGATTTTCGTTTTCCGCTTCTCAACAGCTTTATCAAGTGTTCCGCAACAAAACTTGCTCACTGCTACCTTTTACTCCCTGAACAATGAGCAAATCATACGAATATGCTCAGATGTCACTTGTTCGAAGATTATGTGATTTTCGGGACAGTTTACCGTACGAGAAAGCCCGTTCAGCGAGATTTTCTCTACTGAGAAAAACCGAAAAACGATCGCGTCATTCACTAATTGAATGAACCCCGACACGCATGCACTCAAAACCAAACGTTGAATTTCGACATATTTTTTAACCGGTGACTGACAGGCAACTGTTGTATGAACTTTACCACGAGGAGCATAGATAGAAATCAATCCATCAATGGAATATTTTCGTTAGCTGCATACGCGAACAGCAATGTCATCCGAGTAGTTTTAAACAGACCAATTTCATCACTCTTAGCTATGCACGAAAACCAGCTTTTATTTCATTTTTGTTGTCTTAAATAATACGTGTCTTTATACACTTCGAGCTTTTAAGCAAAAAATTAGAAAAAAATACAGAATGCCAAAATACTGTTGCTACCAGTCTGGAATAACATTTGAATTGTAGTTTGTCCCTTAACGGGTAGCATAACTTGGTTTGCTTTTCGATCAAACCATTGTGTTTATTTGGTAGTGCAGGGTAATTTTATGTTGAGTCGGACTAGGCACCTTTGAGAACTCACCCACACGCACAACCCTCAATTCAGTCGTAACTCTCTCTCTCTCTCTCTCTCTCTCTATATATATATATATATATATATATATATATAT